AATACTTGCTTAAATATGAAATTAGCTTCAAGTCAAAGGCAGTATGTTGTTTATTTTCTTACAGTGTTCCTGTTTACCGGTAATTACCAGTTTTTTACCGATAAAATTAGGCTTGGACCGGTAATTCATGTGACTGCCAGTCCCTGTGGACTGGCAAATAAAGTACTTATAGATCTTTGTTGTTGAACAAAAAATCGGTGATATTCATATATTCAGATATACCGTATTCGACGTAATAAGCGCCCCGCTCTAATAAGCGCCCCGCTCTAATAAGCGCCCACGGCGATATTTGCTTATATATTGGCTAGTGAACAATACCAAATAGCATCCCTTCCCATTGATCAATGTACACAAGACATTTATTCGTGTATAATACGCACTCGTGTGTTATATGCCCCCTTAATTATGGGCAATTATATTCTGGATAAATATATCTGTCGTGTATAATACACACAGCTTTTATTTTGTATCATTTCAGGCTGTCAGCATAAACCACGAAATTTACGATCTTTCAACTCTCCAAAATTTTATTCTAATAAGAGTCCCCTATTTCAAATTTTGAGAGCGCCCTGGGCGCTTATTAAGTCAAATATGGTAAGTACATTTTTCGAACAAAGTCTGCTTGTCTGTTACCATCAGGGTTTCCCCTTGTCTATTTCTAGGTTAAATATCCAGTTGTAGTGACTTTGTCTGAAAATATTAAAAAAATAAAGACAAAATTGTGACTGAGTTTGTGTGAATGATGTATAGAGCTAACTAAGTTACTTCCGAGTAGCATCTTTGCACTGAACATGATGTTGAAAGAATTAAACCAAATAATTTTTCATATGTTTTTTAATTGTTGAAAGTTGGGACTGGCAAAAATTGGAGGGGACTGGTAATTTTTAGAGTTGCCAGTCCACAAAGACTGGCAGTTTCAAAAGCCAGCGGGACCACTGTGTTATTGTCATGATTGTTGCCATGTAAATTGGTATAATTACTATAAATGTGTGCCAGGTCCATGATGAAGTCTATTTTGCATCAAGTTCTCCCAATCAATGTGGCTACAGAATGATAATAAATGATCGTTCACCATGACTTACACTGATGTTTCATAAACTTTGACAGAAATGAGATATGCCATTAGATTATTAATATTATTTCTGATTAGTTTGAATGTCATGTATAAGGTCCCCTCACCTTCCCAGGGTAGATGTTAATTCAGTAGCACCCAGTGTTTGGGAGAATTTTAAAACCCAACAAGACAGGTAACTGATAAATGTTGCCTGCCCGCATTCAGACATCTTAAATAAAAATCGCCCACCAAAATGAGATGAATCGCATCTATTGCGTCTTGATTCAATTGAAATAATGCAAACAATTGGAGTTGGAATAAAACTGACTACGTAAGCATGGTAAGTAGTCTTTAAATTATCTGCCCGACAGTCGGGCAGGTGGAGGAAAATTTCATGCAGCCTGACAGAAAAGTTACCAGCCACGTGCAGGTGGACAGGCAGTTATTTCGGACACTGTGGGGAGTGGAAAAGTAAATTTCAAAATCAAGTAAACAGTCAGTGTTCCCGCTGGTCTTTGAAACTGCCAGTCCTGGTGGACTGGCAACTCCAAAAATTACCAGTCCCCCCTAATTTTTGTCAGTCCCAATTTCAAAAAATAAAAAAACGTTTGAAAATTACCTGGTTATAATTCTTTCAACATCATGTTCAATGCAATGATGTCATCTCCGAAGTAAAGTAGTTAGATCTACACATCATTCACACAAAGTTCAGTCACAATTTTCACTCTTTTTTTAAGATTTCAAGACAAAGTCCCCACAAATATATCTTTAACCTTGAAGCAAAGCGAAATGTTCTTTCCTTGTTCCCGGGACTAAAAATTCACAAGGGGAAACCCTGATGGTAACAGACGAGCTGACTTCGTTCGAAAAATATACTTATATGAATATCACAGATTTATAAGATACTTTATTTGCCGGTCCACATGGACTGGCAGTCACATGAATTACTGGTCCAGGCCTAATTCTACCGATAAAAAAATGGTAAACAGGAACACTGAGACAGTTTAATATATTTTGACATATTAAAGACTTGATGTACCAAAACAGTTCACATAAAAAATCCCTCATTAAAAGTGTAGTGGTAGCGAGCACCAAGATCATATTTTAATATCAAAAACATCCCTTAATGTCATGTGATTGGCTGAGACTCAAAACAAATGTTCATGATGTTGAACATGTACCAAAGATCATGTTTAATCAGGTATTTTTTCAAGAACTGTTAAGAAGTGTTAATTTTGTACATTTTATGTTTTCGTGGGTACACACATTGTTAAATTTCACAGGATTATTTTCAAAACTTTTATAAGTGACAAGTGATTCTTCTATGTTCACTGTTGCCAGTTACTATCAAGATTATTTTCATTGCAATTTTATATATGAATATGTATATTTGTGCATGTGTTAAACAATGCTCAAAATGACCAAGAACGACCACTGAAACAACACTGTAATAATTGTTTTGTAGAAGTTTTGTATTTATCTCAGAAATCACGGGGGCATGGGTGGCCCAGTCGTCTAAGGCGCCACGATTCGCTGTGCAGAGTTGCGTCCCTTGGGCACGCCAGAAACCTATGATTGTGGGTTCGAATCCTGGTTCGCCCCGATTATGTTTCTAGGTTTGTCAGCACCATACCCGTGCTCGTGGGTTTCACCGAAGTGGTAAACATCTGCGACCTGCATCACTTCGGGCTTTCCTCCCACATTAAGCTGACACACTGCGATATAACTGGAATACTGTTAAAAGCGGCGTTAAACCCAACTCACTCACTCACTCACTCTAAGGAATCAATGGGTACTGATCATTTTCAATTTTTGTATTCTTTGTTTGTTATTGATGTTTATAAAAAGAAATACCTTGATTTGTGATGCTTCCTTAACTTGCTTACAATTTTTTCACGGGAGAAAAGTTCTATGATATTGCTGGTGGCTGGGCTCTGCTCTGCTCACCCATACACTGATACAGCACAGCAAAAGTTGAGCACTGCCTGATTTTTCATGAAATATCCAGTTAATCCACATCTGTTCAATCCCTGTGAAGATCTGGGTTAGAATTAGTTTTCAGCAACCCGTGCTTGTCGTAAAAGGCGACTAAGGTGGTCAGACTCGCTGACTTGGTGTATGCATGTCATCGTATCCCAATTCAGTAGACTAATGATCATGTCAGTCACAGGATTGTCTGGTTCAGACTCGATTTTTTTACAGGCCACCGTCATATAGTTGGAACATTGCTGAGTGTGGCGTTAAACAACAAACAAACACATCTGTTCAAAATATACTGCTCAAAACATGTTCAAGAACGCCCAAAAGGCTGTGTGTTACACCAAGCAGCCATGACCGATTAACTGTAGTCAGTATGAAAAGAGCAGATGTTATATAACTTCTTTTGGGGGAGGTGAAATGGGGTTTAACGTCGCATCCAAGATTATTGCACTTATATAGGGACATGTCTGTGTGTGTTTGTGTGGCTGCTTGTATGAGTCTGGTCTGATGCCGATTTATAGTGCCAGCCCACTGAGATACCATGCCGCAGTTTAACATGAATACCCCACTCAGACACAGTATACTGACTCCGAGCCGACCAGTCCTTGCTTTAGCCCCTTAATGCCGAGCACCAGGCAGGGTAACAACAAGTACCATCTTTTAACGTCTGTTGGTATGACGTGTCTGGGGATCGAACCCCGGAACTACCACTCTCCAGGCGGACGCTCTACCACTAGACCACGGAGGTGAACCTAACTTCTTTTGAGTAGTATATGCATTGGGCAGGTTGTTTGAGTGATTGATCGTATGAGTGAGTGAGTTAGTTTTGACGCTTGTCAGGACTTTTTACCACTTTGGAGAAACTCACAAGCAAGTGTCGAGTGGTAACGATACCAAGAAAACAATCAGGGTGACATGGGATTTGAATCCACCTTCTCATATTTCTGGTATGCGTGAAGGACAGTGTTCTAGCATGTCTAGTGAGATTGAATATACATTGTCTCATGCCTCACCCAGACCTGTGTCCTGCCAAATGTCAACTATTCAACATTCAGCAGTGTCAGATTGTGTGAGAGAGGGAGCCAAGTTCACATGCTCAATGAGCTTGTAACCACAGGCAAGCATTGTTTACATTACAATTCACACAGCATACACAACTCTTGCACAGTTTGGCCTGATGTCACAGTCACAAGTTTCAGTTTACTGTGTATGATTCTAAACACCATACCATATACTGTTCCCCACCAACTGTCCAGACTGCTCCCCAGGCAGTGCCCACACTGCCCCCATGGACGGAATACAGCCATTGAAGAGTAGTCACAGGTAGATCCATGCCCATAATAGCAATCACTGGATTGTTTGGTCCAGACTCGATTATTTAAAGGTCGCCGTCATATACCTGGAATATTGCTGAGTGCGGCGTTAAACAACAAACAAACAAACGGGAGTAGTCAGTAGCAGACTTCAGTATGGCCCCGTGAAGATCCGGGATGGAATTTGTCTTCAGCAACTCGTGCTTGTGGTAAGAGACGACTAATGAGATCAGGGTAGTCAGGCTGACTGACTTGGTTGATCAGCATCAGAAATTGGCACTAGTCCTGTAGTCCTTGAAAAACTGCCCAATAGTTAAGGTGTAATAAGGACAAGTAGAAGTTTGCCACTTTTAAGGTTTTGCTATATATTATCATCATAAGGACTAGTGGACAAAAAGTGTTAGTTTCTACCGCTGTTGATGCATATCATTGTATCCCAATTGGGTAGATCAAAGCTCATGATGTCTATCACTGGATTGTCTGGTCCAGATTTGATGATTTACAGACCGCCGTCATATAGCTTGAATATTGCTGAGTGCGGCGTTAAAGAACAAACAAACTTCAATATGAGCAGCAAATGCATAAACCAACAGGTCACCTGACCACCACATTGACAAGGACCAGGAACTGTATGATGAAGAAACAAACCCGAGGAGAGAGTCATACTTTATTGAAGAAGTCACATGATGAATTCAACAATTTCAGTTCTGAAAATAAGAACTGAGTGTGAATCCCATGCATCTACATGTAGCACTAAGTGACAGCTTTCTTACACAAGGTCTGCACAGGACTGCTGACAATATGCACTACTGCTGTAAACATACAGACTCGACATGAATGAATGACCTGTGATTGTTATGTTACATTTCGTTACTGTTTTAACAGTCTGCACTGACACACTATGGACTGTTCACAGCTACAGATTGCTTCAGCCTAAACAAAATGAGTTTCCTTTTTCAACCCCTCTAAACATAGGGTAGGAAGTTCATTTTTCACCCTTTTTCCTACTTTTTTTGTTGTAAAATGGTAATTTGCAGTATGACAGTAAAAGCCTACTGTCATTTGATGATTTGATGATGATGACTGGTTTTATTTTGGATGAATCACAGTACTGAAGCACAAAAATATTTACAGACGTGGCATAAAACTATAAAATACAGACAATACCAGGAGGATGACCAAGTTGTTGTGTAACTTGAGAGAAAGAGGTAAGGGTCAGGGTTCCAGACGAGGGTCAAATGGGAAACTGGAAACACATATTTCTTTTTGGCCAACACAACTCCATCCTCAAACAAATCCAGTCAGTTCTGACTCTTGTACTACACATGATGAACTAGACATTCAAATACAGAGAATCAACAAACTCAATGACTCAATGTGGTTATGGTACTCATTCTCATCCCAAATGGATATCAACATTCACAGCAGATACATTGATACATGAATTGAGTGAGTCGGTGAGTGAAATTTAACGTCACATCCGCAATATTTCAGCTATATCGTGACGAAGATACATGAATATAAAAGGATGTAGAAATTTCTACTGGAGGATATGCAAATACTTATTGTAGAGAGCTCTGAATGTACTTAAATACGGTAGTCACGAATGCCCTGTCCAGTGTTAGAACCGATCATGAAAGAGCAGTGAGAAACATAACTTGTCCCAGTTTATATGAACTTCACCTTACATTAATTTTATCTTTTAATGGGGATCGAACCACCGACTTTCCACTTTCTGGACAGTCGCTCTACCCACTAGACCACGGAGCTGGCCTTCTCCTTGTGACATGAGTGAGTTGGGTTTAACGCCGCTTTTAACATTATTCCAGTTATATCGGGGCGTGTCAGCTCAATGTGGGAGGAAAGCCCGAAGTGATGCAGGTCTCAGACGTTTACCACTTTGGTGAAACCTACAACACGGGTATGGTGCTGACAAACCTAGAAACATAATCGGGGCGAACCGGGATTCGAACCCACAATCATAGGTTTGGGTGTCTTGGACACGAGTAAGTAATCAAGCCGTCGCCACTATTCACTAAGCCTTGAATGTAGCTTCATTAATGTTAACAGATGCAACATTGTTAGTGTCAATGCAATCAGCAGCAAACAGATTTGGAAGGTTTATCATATTAAACCACACAATAGCATGCCAATTAATTTTTCTCTTTCGGTATTGCATGCTGCTATGTTAGAAACATTTACCAAATATGGCTGACAGATATCAGGTATACTGCATATGTAGCATTCCTTTTAGTTCTCCAGCTAAAAAAAATCAATAATCAATAATAAATCATGGAATGACTTAACAGAGTATTAACATATTTGTGTTGATCAGTTTGAAAGAGAGAGGTCTTCAAAGCCAACTACTTGTTGTCTGAAACCTCCAAATCTTTGGTTGACGATCCAAAGATCCATGTCATTCAATGTGTTTAGTCTGGGCGTATTTCCCAGGGAGTGTATCCTCATCAGTCCTGTTCCGTTGTCTCCATGTCCTCTTCCTCTTTTGCTTCTTTACCATCCTCCTCTGTCATGGCCGCTTCGTTTGCCGCAGACCCGTTGGTCTTGTCAGCGCCGTCCTCCTCCTCTTCTTCTTCCTCTACTGGTGTGTAGTCAACCCAATCTATCGTGTCAGACTTCCTCTTGTTGTAATACTCATCCTGAAACAGCAGTTCAGAACTGATCACAGGCTCAAGGAAACCAGGAGCAATGCATTGCTGTAACACACTTTCATCACAGAATACGGGGTCAGGTAGCCTTGTGGTTGGTTGGTGAAACCCACGAGCACGGGTATGGTGCTGACAAACCTAGAAACATAATCGGGGCGAACCGGGATTTGAACCCTCAATCATAGGTTTCTGGCGTGCCCAAGGGACGCAACTCTGCACAGCGAATCGTGGCGCCTCAGACGACTGGGACCCCTGGCCCCCTGACTGAGTAGTGAAGCCAATCACAATGGCTTATACTGTTTTCTACCACTTGATCTCTGACAACAAATTTAACATGTGTAATGTTTTAATAAGCACCCCTGCTTTGAAAATGTTCTAAGCTCCCGGAGCACTTGTTCCGGCAAACACAGTATCTTTCCTTTTCTCTTAGAGTTATATTACGCTGATGTCAGCACAGGTTGATCAAGTCTGGATCAGGCCAATTGGTGACTGATGGACACAGCATAAACACAAGTTGACCGGGACTATAGGTGGCACTGCAGTTTAGAAAGCATGGTGGAATGGGAGAGGAGTTGACAAAGTACATTTCAGGTAATTTATTACTTTTAATGTGGTGTTTTTGAATGATATGCATAGAAAGTGTCCAAATGGACAAGGGGTACTTTGTTTCAAAATAACCTGTGCAACAAAGAGGGTAAAGTCATAAGAATTGGCGAATGAAAAAAGTTTTCGTTAGGAACATAGACATGTTTTTAATACCCACCTCATGCGCCAAGCAGTACAGACTACGCACGGACAACATCCGCCTGTTTTTATAGTGACAGTGGGCCAGTTTATTCTATTAGTAGGGGGTATCGACACCAGTTAGGTTTTCCCCGACCTGACTGACCACCCAATGTCCTGGTGTCAGGTCTCATGAACAGCCTGGGCCACTGTGGACCCTTCCCCTCAGAGCTGATACTGACCTTCACATGGTTGAAGTGTCTCTCCAGTCGGACGTGGACCTCCATCTCGGCGTCGTCCCTCAGGAACTTGCGACACAGGCTGCAGTAGTACCCTGATGTTGGCTCAATGTACCCCTTGACTGCATACAGAGGAAGTAGGTTAAAATACTCATTAAATGACCACTTGTTTTTGTAAAACTTATTAAGTTTATCATGTTTCATTTCGTTGAATGCCTTCATGAATACAACTCGTACTGGAGAGGTATTAACATAAGCCTTCTTGGCTTGTTTAAGGATCCAGATTGAAAGAATGAAAATATGTTTTAATCATAGTCATGAATCTCATTAATCTTGTCACATTGTGTCCAAAAAATAAGTTTTTCCCCAAATCATTTCCAGACATGTTAACAGGAAAAACAAATTGAGAAACTTTGAAAGTTTGGAAGTCTTTCTTGAAATATCATGAAAGTGTCCCAGATCAATTTCAGTTCCCACATACGTCAGTCATACACATTGTTGATACACAACCATGATAACATTATACCTTACCGTATACAACTCCATCTTGAAAAGGTGGCAAGTCTTTCTGCAATGTGAAGAAAGTAATGTTGTTTACTACTGGTTTGTCTGGTCAAAAGATGATTACTGTAAATCTGGAATTACTGTGAGTGGCTAACAATAGCCTCAACTGTGTCTGGAAAGTTTTGCACCATGAAATTACTGCGAGTGGCTAACAATAGCCTCAACTGCGTCTGGATAGTTTTGCACCATGAAATTACTGTGAGTGGCTAACAATAGCCTCAACTGTGTCTGGAAAGTTTTGCACCATGAAATTACTGCGAGTGGCTAACAATAGCCTCAACTGCGTCTGGATAGTTTTGCACCATGAAATTACTGTGAGTGGCTAACAATAGCCTCAACTGTGTCTGGAAAGTTTTGCACCATGAAATTACTGTGAGTGGCTAACAATAGCCTCAACTGCGTCTGGAAAGTTTTGCACCATGAAATTACTGTGAGTGGCTAACAATAGCCTCAACTGTGTCTGGAAAGTTTTGCACCATGAAATTACTGCGAGTGGCTAACAATAGCCTCAACTGTGTCTGGAAAGTTTTGCACCATGAAATTACTGCGAGTGGCTAACAATAGCCTCAACTGCGTCTGGAAAGTTTTGCACCATGAAATTACTGTGAGTGGCTAACAATAGCCTCAACTGTGTCTGGAAAGTTTTGCACCATGAAATTACTGTGAGTGGCTAACAATAGCCTCAACTGCGTCTGGATAGTTTTGCACCATGAAATTACTGTGAGTGGCTAACAATAACCTCAACTGCGTCTGGAAAGTTTTGCACCATGAAATTACTGTGAGTGGCTAACAATAGCCTCAACTGTGTCTGGAAAGTTTTGCACCATGAAATTACTGCGAGTGGCTAACAATAGCCTCAACTGCGTCTGGAAAGTTTTGCACCATGAAATTACTGTGAGTGGCTAACAATAGCCTCAACTGCGTCTGGAAAGTTTTGCGACATCCTGTAAAGATGACCAAATATCAAAGCTACTTTTGCAGGTGTTAAAGGTGATAAGTTGGAAGCAGCATGATGAAATGGTAACTCAGTGATTTTTAAACTATAGATGAATGTGTTATTGCAGTTGATAAGGGATGTGGGAGTAGCGTGTTTATCTAACAGAATACACTGGCTCACGTATGTCTGGATTTCTCGGTGTTATGTCCAGATGTGGCAGGTGAGTGAACTAATTAGACTATTGACACGAAGTGACAATGTGTAATTACGGTAACACAGGTTGTAAGGGATTATTTGTTTAATCATGATCTGGCTGGTTTTGTTGGTTGAAGGCCTGCAAAAATACCTGCATCATGAAACTATTACAAGTGTGTCGCTCGCAGTCTTCACAGTATTTTCCTGCTCGCACACATGTATGAAGTATTAATGCACTTAAGAAATTTATTAATAACATTATAGTGAGTGAGTGAGTTGGGTTTAACGCCACTTTTAACAGAATTCCAGTTATATCACGGTGTGTCAGCTAAATGCGGGAGGAAAGCCAGAAGTGATGCAGGTCTCAGACGTTTGCCACTTCGGTGAAACCCATGAGCACGGGTATGGTCCTGACAAACCTAGAAACATAATCGGGGCGAACTGGGATTCGAACCCTCAATCATAGGTTTCTGGCGTGCCCAAGGGACACACCTCTGCACAGCGAATCGAGGCGCCTCAGACGACTGGGCCACCCGTGCCCCCTAATAACATTATAAATTAACTGACTGAACTACTAATTCACTCTCAGTGAATGGTTCAAAATGAACAAGTATTTGTCACAATGTGACGAAATGTCCCCCGCCTGTATATACACCATAGTACCAAATATGAAGACAATCCAGCGATTAGTTCTTGAGATATTGCGGCAACGCCGTTTTCCAACTCCAAAAACAGATTTGCCTGCTGTGACCTTGAAAATGGGGTCAAGGTCACCAAAACCGACTGGTGTATGCGGTGTCTGTATATACACCATAGTTCCAAATATGAAGGGAATCCAGCGATTAGTTCTTGAGATATCGCGGCAACACCGTTTTCTAACTCCAAAAGCAGATTTGCCTGCTGTGACCTTGAAAATGGGGTCAAGGTCACCAAAACCGACTGGTGTCTGCGGAGTCTGTATATACACCATAGTTCCAAATATGAAAACAATCCAGTGTTTAGTTCTTGACATATCGCTGCAACACCGTTTTCCAACTCCAAAAGCAGATTTGCCTGCTGAGACTTTGAAAATGGGGTCAAGGTCACCAAAACCGACTGGTGTCTGCGGTGTCTGTATATACACCATAGTTCCAAATATGAAGACAATCCAGTGTTTAGTTCTTGAGATATCGCGGCAACACCATTTTCCAACTCCAAAAGCAGATTTGCCTGCTGTGACCTTGAAAATGGGGTCAAGGTCACCAAAACTGACTGGTGTCTGTTGAGTCTGTATATACACCATAGTTCTAAATATGAAGACAATCCAGCGATCAGTTCTTGAGATATCGCGGCAACACCGTTTTCCAACTCCAAAAGCAGATTTGCCTGCTGTGACCTTGAAAATGGGGTCAAGGTCACCAAAACCGACTGGTGTCTGCGGTGTCTGTATATACACCATAGTTCCAAATATGAAGACAATCCAGTGTTTAGTTCTTGAGATATCGCAGCAACAAACAGGTTGGACGTATGGACGGACGTACGGACGTACAGACATACGGACGTACGGACGGTCGTGAATACTATATCCCCCGCTTCGCGCGGCGGGGGACAACAACATACTCTTACATAAACATAAATAAATGGACTCCAAAACTCACCACTTCCACTGCATCCTCCATCTTCTTATCAAACTTCTCTGCAGCCTGCACAAGTCAAATATTGTGTCATCAAAAATATAAACTTTCTATGCATCCCAACATATTCATAGTTTCAATCCAAACAAGGTGTAGCAAACTTAAGTATTTAGATGAACAAATTAGTGAAACCTGAATATTTTTAAAATTTGTATACTTATACTATAGCAAAAGATGTTAGTTCTCAAAAGACATCCTCACTGCATGTAAATTTAATTAAACATTGATACATGTATAACATGACAAATTACATGCCCATCAAAGGTTGAAGTTGGGACAAATATCAATACACACCACAGACATCGCAGCCATGACAAAATTTGGATTTCTGTCAGCAGTTTTACAAGAATACCACTGCTGGGATCATAAACACAACAGTTCAGCTTTTAATTAGTTTACAGGCTTTGTGTCAGATAGTTCTGCGCCTGGACTGTGGATTTTTTTAAATTCACGTCTAGATTGAACTAAACCAATTCTAGTTTCCCAAAACCGCTGTGGAAGAACGGTTCTATTGAAAACAAAATACAATTATTTTAAAGAAATGTTGTCATAGACTAAGTATTTGTCTACTAGAGAGTCTGCACTCACCTGAATGTGGGTCTCTGTGTAACAGTGTTCCTTGAACTGCTTGTAGGTTTGTCTACTAGTCTGTACTCATCTGAATGTGGGTCTCTGTGTAACAGTGTTCCCTGAACTGCTTGTAGGTTTGTCTACTAGTCTGTACTCACCTGAATGTGGGTCTCTGTGTAACAGTGTTCCCTGAACTGCTTGTAGGTTTGTCTACTAGTCTGCACTCACCTGAATGTGGGTCTCTGTGTAACAGTGTTCCTTGAACTGCTTGTAGGTTTGTCTACTAGAGAGTCTGTACTCACCTGAATGTGGGTCTCAGTGTAACAGTGTTCCCTGAACTGCTTGTAGGTTTGTCTACTAGTCTGTACTCACCTGAATGTGGGTCTCTGTGTAACAGTGTTCCCTGAAGTGCTTTTAGGTTTGTCTACTAGTCTGTACTCACCTGAATGTGGGTCTCTGTGTAACAGTGTTCCCTGAACTGCTTGTAGGTTTGTCTACTAGATAGTCTGTACTCACCTGAATGTGGGTCTCAGTGTAACAGTGTTCCCTGAACTGCTTGTAGGTTTGTCTACTAGTCTGTACTCACCTGAATGTGGGTCTCTGTGTAACAGTGTTCCCTGAACTGCTTGTAGGTTTGTCTACTAGTCTGCACTCACCTGAATGTGGGTCTCTGTGTAACAGTGTTCCCTGAACTGCTTGTAGGTTTGTCTACTAGTCTGCACTCACCTGAATGTGGGTCTCTGTGTAACAGTGTTCCCTGAACTGCTTGTAGGTTTGTCTACTAGTCTGTACTCACCTGAATGTGGGTCTCTGTGTAACAGTGTTCCCTGAACTGCTTGTAGGTTTGTCTACTAGTCTGTACTCACCTGAATGTGGGTCTCTGTGTAACAGTGTTCCTTGAACTGCTGGTAGGTTTGTCTACTAGTCTGTACTCACCTGAATGTGGGTCTCAGTGTAACAGTGTTCCCTGAACTGCTTGTAGGTTTGTCTACTAGTCTGTACTCACCTGAATGTGGGTCTCTGTGTAACAGTGTTCCCTGAACTGCTTGTAGGTTTGTCTACTAGTCTGCACTCACCTGAATGTGGGTCTCTGTGTAACAGTGTTCCTTGAACTGCTTGTAGGTTTGTCTACTAGTCTGTACTCACCTGAATGTGGGTCTCTGTGTAACAGTGTTCCCTGAACTGCTTGTAGGTTTGTCTACTAGTCTGTACTCACCTGAATGTGGGTCTCTGTGTAACAGTGTTCCCTGAACTGCTTGTAGGTTTGTCTACTAGTCTGCACTCACCTGAATGTGGGTCTCTGTGTAACAGTGTTCCTTGAACTGCTTGTAGGTTTGTCTACTAGAGAGTCTGTACTCACCTGAATGTGGGTCTCAGTGTAACAGTGGTCCTTGAACTGCTTGTAGGTTTGTCAACTAGATAGTCTGTACTCACCTGAATGTGGGTCTCTGTGTAACAGTGTTCCCTGAACTGCTTGTAGGTTTGTCTATTAGAGAGTCTGTACTCACCTGAATGTGGGTCTCAGTGTAACAGTGTTCCCTGAACTGCCTGTAGGTTTGTCTACTAGTCTGTACTCACCTGAATGTGGGTCTCTGTGTAACAGTGTTCCCTGAAGTGCTTGTAGGTTTGTCTACTAGTCTGTACTCACCTGAATGTGGGTCTCTGTGTAACAGTGTTCTCTGAACTGCTTGTAGGTTTGTCTACTAGTCTGTACTCACCTGAATGTGGGTCTCTGTGTAACAGTGTTCCCTGAACTGCTTGTAGGTTTGTCTACTAGTCTGCACTCACCTGAATGTGGGTCTCTGTGTAACAGTGTTCCCTGAACTGCTTGTAGGTTTGTCTACTAGTCTGCACTCACCTGAATGTGGGTCTCTGTGTAACAGTGTTCCCTGAACTGTTGTAGGTTTGTCTACTAGTCTGTACTCACCTGAATGTGGGTCTCTGTGTAACAGTGTTCCCTGAACTGCTTGTGGGTTTGTCTACTAGTCTGTACTCACCTGAATGTGGGTCTCTGTGTAACAGTGTTCCCTGAACTGCTTGTGGGTTTGTCTACTAGTCTGTACTCACCTGAATGTGGGTCTCTGTGTAACAGTGTTCCCTGAACTGCTTGTAGGTTTGTCTACTAGTCTGTACTCACCTGAATGTGGGTATCTGTGTAACAGTGTTCCCTGAACTGCTTGTAGGTTTGTCTACTAGTCTGTACTCACCTGAATGTGGGTCTCTGTGTAACAGTGTTCCCTGAACTGCTTGTAGGTTTGTCTACTAGAGAGTCTGTACTCACCTGAATGTGGGTCTCTGTGTAACAGTGTTCCCTGAACTGCTTGTAGGTTTGTCTACTAGTCTGCACTCACCTGAATGTGGGTCTCTGTGTAACAGTGTTCCCTGAACTGCTTGTAGGTTTGTCTACTAGTCTGCACTCACCTGAATGTGGGTTTCAGTGTAACAGTGTTCCCTGAACTGCTTGTAGGTTTGTCTACTAGAGAGTCTGTACTCACCTGAATGTGGGTCTCTGTGTAACAGTGTTCCCTGAACTGCTTGTAGGTTTGTCTACTAGTCTGCACTCACCTGAATGTGGGTTTCAGTGTAACAGTGTTCCCTGAACTGCTTGTAGGTTTGTCTACTAGAGAGTCTGTACTCACCTGAATGTGGGTCTCTGCGTAACAGTGTTCCCTGAACTGCTTGTAGGTTTGTCTACTAGAGAGTCTGTACTCACCTGAATGTGGGTCTCTGTGTAACAGTGTTCCTTGAACTGCTTGTAGGTTTGTCCACTAGAGAGTCTGTACTCACCTGAATGTGGGTCTCTGTGTAACAGTGTTCCCTGAACTGCTTGTAGGTTTGTCTACTAGTCTGCACTCACCTGAATGTGGGTCTCTGTGTAACAGTGTTCCCTGAACTGCTTGTAGGTTTGTCTACTAGTCTGCACTCACCTGAATGTGGGTTTCAGTGTAACAGTGTTCCCTGAACTGCTTGTAGGTTTGTCTACTAGAGAGTCTGTACTCACCTGAATGTGGGTCTCTGTGTAACAGTGTTCCCTGAACTGCTTGTAGGTTTGTCTACTAGTCTGTACTCACCTGAATGTGGGTTCAAGTGTAACAGTGTTCCCTGAACTGCTTGTAGGTTTGTGTACTAGAGAGTCTGTACTCACCTGAATGTGGGTCTCTGTGTAACAGTGTTCCCTGAACTGCTTGTAGGTTTGTCTACTAGAGAGTCTGTACTCACCTGAATGTGGGTCTCTGTGTAACAGTGTTCCTTGAACTGCTTGTAGGTTTGTCTACTAGAGAGTCTGTACTCACCTGAATGTGGGTCTCTGTGTAACAGTGTTCCCTGAACTGCTTGTAGGTTTGTCTACTAGTCTGCACTCACCTGAATGTGGGTCTCTGTGTAACAGTGTTCCCTGAACTGCTTGTAGGTTTGTCTACTAGTCTGCACTCACCTGAATGTGGGTCTCTGTGTAACAGTGTTCCCTGAACTGCTTGTAGGTTTGTCTACTAGTCTGCACTCACCTGAATGTGGGTCTCTGTGTAACAGTGTTCCCTGAACTGCTTGTAGGTTTGTCTACTAGTCTGTACTCACCTGAATGTGGGTCTCTGTGTAACAGTGTTCCCTGAACTGCTTGTGGGTTTGTCTACTAGTCTGTACTCACCTGAATGTGGGTCTCTGTGTAACAGTGTTCCCTGAACTGCTTGTGGGTTTGTCTACTAGTCTGTACTCACCTGAATGTGGGTCTCTGTGTAACAGTGTTCCCTGAACTGCTTGTAGGTTTGTCTACTAGTCTGTACTCACCTGAATGTGGGTTTCAGTGTAACAGTGTTCCCTGAACTGCTTGTAGGTTTGTGTACTAGAGAGTCTGTACTCACCTGAATGTGGGTCTCTGTGTAACAGTGTTCCCTGAACTGCTTGTAGGTTTGTCTACTAGAGAGTCTGTACTCACCTGAATGTGGGTCTCTGTGTAACAGTGTTCCTTGAACTGCTTGTAGGTTTGTCTACTAGAGAGTCTGTACTCACCTGAATGTGGGTCTCTGTGTAACAGTGTTCCCTGAACTGCTTGTAGGTTTGTCTACTAGTCTGCACTCACCTGAATGTGGGTCTCTGTGTAACAGTGTTCCCTGAACTGCTTGTAGGTTTGTCTACTAGTCTGCACTCACCTGAATGTGGGTCTCTGTGTAACAGTGTTCCCTGAACTGCTTGTAGGTTTGTCTACTAGTCTGCACTCACCTGAATGTGGGTCTCTGTGTAACAGTGTTCCCTGAACTGCTTGTAGGTTTGTCTACTAGTCTGTACTCACCTGAATGTGGGTCTCTGTGTAACAGTGTTCCCTGAACTGCTTGTGGGTTTGTCTACTAGTCTGTACTCACCTGAATGTGGGTCTCTGTGTAACAGTGTTCCCTGAACTGCTTGTGGGTTTGTCTACTAGTCTGTACTCACCTGAATGTGGGTCT